ATGCCGGCCAAATCGCACCCGACCTGGCTCCCAGGCCATGTAACTTACTCACCGGTGAGAGCAACGGATATCCTCACCGACCGCCGGCCTGACGAGCTGCACGGTCGAGATGCTATCCTGTCAACAGTTCTACGACGTCGTCGTCATCGACGAGATCCAGATGATCGGCGACCACTTCCGCGGCGATGCTTGGACTCAGGCTGTCCTCGGCGTCCAAGCCAAGGAACTCCATCTCTGCGGAGAGGAGAGCGTCGTAGGCCTGATCGAAAGCTTGGCTAACTCGTGTCAGGACGAGTTCATCTTGCACCGTTACCAACGTCTCACCCCGCTCAAGGTGGCCGATTCGAGCCTCAAGGGCGATCTCTCTAAGGTCCAAAGAGGCGACTGTCTCGTCACCTTCAGTCGCAATAATATCTATGCTCTCAAGAAGGCTATCCAATCGGCCACTGACCTTCGAGTCGGAATGGCCTACGGTGGTCTGCCGCCCGAAGTCAGAGAGAGAGAGGCGCAGATGTTCAACCTGGGCAGTCAGGTGGAAGGAGAAGGTGGATATGATGTCCTGGTCGGGAGTGATGCGATCGGAATGGGTCTCAATCTGTACATACATCTCCTTCCTCTTCTCATACTTGAAAATAAAACGTGCTAACATTTGATTTGCGGTTGAATTCATCAAGCAAGATCAAGCGGGTGATCTTCCAATCCCTGCATAAATTCGACGGTCGCAATGAAGTTGCATTGAGCACTTCACAGATCAAGCTGATAGGCGGCCGAGCGGGACGGTTTGGGATATTGCCCAAGAATGTGGGCCCGGGGGAGTCAGGAGAGAGTCGGGAAGAAGGGAGCACGGTCGGGAGACGTGTTGACGATGAACGAGACGGATATGAGTCTCTTACGCCGATCGATGGCGCGCCGTTTGAGAAGATTGAACGGGCGGTGTTGAAGGCACCGTTCACGACGGTCGAAGGCCTGGCACGCCGGGCGCTCCCGGGGTGCGCTACTCCAATCTACTCGACCTGCGAAGGTCCCTGACCCTCACCCGGCCAGAATACGCGATCGGAGACGAGAAGAACTCGGGCTCGATCGCCGACGCGCTCCAACACATCCTGCCCCTCAGTCTCTCCGAACGTGACCTCTTCTGCTCGGCCCCCGCCAGCGCTAGAAGTCCTGTGGCCATCTCCGCCCTCCAACAATGGGCTAACGCACATGCGCTTCGTCGGCAGGTCGATTTCTTGGCCTGGTTACGTCACGAAAACGTCGAACAAACCATCGGTTCCATCGAATCATCTATCAACTCTTCTTCTTCCTCTTCTTCTTCCTCCGCAACAACAACGACAACAAATCACCCAAAACAAAACTTGATAAAATTGGAACGGCTTCATAATGAAAACTTGCTCAGATTGGAATCGATCCATAAATGTCTGGTTCTGTATCTTTGGCTGGCCTTCCGACTTCCTGAAAGCTTTGTGGATTTCGAACGCTGTCAGGAACTCAAGTTACGGACTGAGACCGTGCTCGGAATCGGACTCAATTCGATCTAACTTTGTTGTATCGGCTCTCTCATATTTCCCTTCCCCCC